GTGTGTGTGTGTGTGTGTGTGTGCATACCGTCTTCATGCAAAAGCCTTCGTGGTCGTGAAGGCTCGTGTTGAAGTGGAGTCTACCGGTGAATGTGAATTTGTCGTCCAAGACAGGCTTTCCTATGCTTTCATGTTTATTCCACACTCCTTACTTTCCCTCTGCCTGGTCATCACTTCATCTGTGTTTATCCCCTCCCCGTTTGCTCTGCCTGTTCTCACAGTGTCCAAGTGGGCCGTTATGATACACGGGGATGCGGGCGGCTCGCGCCTAACTTCATCAACATGGTGCATGGCGAGCCTTGTATGTGAGATAGTGTTGGTATTGTATGCGGTCACAAAAGGGATCTTGTGTAAAAGAAGAATGATCACAAGAATGGCTTCAGTGCAACTCTTCATGTTGGTCTTGTGTACTTGTATCGTTTGTTTTGCAGAGTGTGCGCTCTTAGCTGATACGAGGCATGCAGTGCTGGCACCACCAGCCGTCGTGGTCTGGTAGGCCAAGCCTGCAAAATTTCCGTAGGCTGCGAAATTTCCGTAGGCTACGAGTTTCTTTTCAGCAAGGGTGGGGCTGTTTACTGGAGGTTTAAACTGTTGCTACCGTCTGAAGCTGTAGTCCCATTTGGGAAAATGACGTATTCCACAAAGTTGGGGGGGGGAGGGGTCCGGCAAAGGCTTGGCAGGAAAGGGGGAAGAAAAAAAGAACGAAAAGCTTGGGACCCTTTGGGTCCCCAGCGCTGCCGTCGGGGAAGGCCCTCACTGAGGTGGAAGTCACACGGGTACTTTTGAGGATTGTATCTGGCCCTCACTGAGGTGGAAGTCACACCGGTACTTATCTGGCCACCATGTGTGCAAAGTGATCGCTGATTGTTTTTTTTTTTTTTTCATTTCCTATTGGTGCCCGCCACCCAGGCGGGCGTCTTGCCTGCGGGGCAACCGACTGCCTCGCTCACCTCATACTCACACTACTACTGTAGCGTCATGTATTGGACTGCAATCACGGCATAAGGGATTTTTTTTATTTTTTTTTTGTTCTCCCTTTGTTGTTAATCGTACAGATGTCCGCACTGAGGGGGGGGGACAGTCAAACTAGCACCTCATAGAATATATCTGCTGGTTATCACAGGATAGGGAATATTTATTTTTATTTTTTTGACCAGTTCCCTTTGACCCCCCTGGGGCCAAGTCCCGCTAGCAGCATTAAGTTCACTCAATGCTGAAATAAGGACGCAGTCGTGGAGATTTGCAGTTGAGGACGCTTGGCGCAATTTTCTGCACATCTCCACAAACATGTCCAGATCCGGGCGTGTTGTTGAGGAAACTGGATGCTGCTATTTGGACTTCGGCGCTTTGCGCCTTTCATGAATGGGAATGGGCTGGGATGCCGACCACAGATTTGGGGTCTGCCAATACACAGTAGAGAAAGATTACACGGCTGCAAGGACAAGAGCGAAAACTTTTTTTTTTTTTTTTTTTTTTTTTTTTTGGAACCCTGCACCGACAGATAGGAGTGATGATAAGAGCATGCACTCCTACAAGAGCAAAAACTGCACACACAATTATGACAAGAAATTGACCTGAAAAACCCAATGTCGGCATCATGGATCTGAGATCTCGCTTCACTACTTGCCAGATTTGCAGATTGAGAATGAAACTTCTGCTAGAACAAACATGGAAAGATAGACCGCCATTTTTTTTTTTGTCTTTTCTTCAGGTGGTGAGTAGTGGAGCAAGGCCCATGGCCCTCCATTCATCGTGCCAGTGAGGATATTGTTGTTGTCAGGGTGACCGGCGTTGGGGACTGGCCGAACGCCCGAACCTGAACACCCAAACGTAAAAAAATCTGAAAAGAAAGATATGTGATGAAGAAAAATAAAATAAACAACATTTACCTGAGCATTACATCCACATTCATTACCAAATTTGAAATAAGAACTAAATACAGAAAATAAAAATAAAATTTTAAAAAAATGAAAAGAGAATTAAAACTAGCGAGTGAGCGAGCACGATTTCGACATCACCATCTTTGGCGATTTTTCATTTTTTTTGGCACAGCCAAATGCCCTGAGAATTAAAATTAGCGAGTGAGCGAGCACGTTTTCGACACCACCAACTTTGGCGATTTTTCATTTTTTTTGGCACAGCAAAATGCTCTGAAAATTTACAGGTGTACTTCACATAATACAAAACCCATTAAAAAAGTTAGTAAAAACTGAAAAAAAAACAAAATAGTGAGTGGGCGAGCACGTTTTGCCACTGCCATCTTTGGCGATTTTTAATTTCTGTTTGGCTAAGCAAAATGACCTCAAAATTTATAGACATGTAGCAACAAAATAGTGAGTGGGCGAGAAAACACTGCCATCTTTGGCGATTTTTGATTTTGTTTGGCTAAGCAAAATGACTTCAAATTTTGTAGGCATGTAGCTCATCATAGAGAACTCACAGAAAACAAATCGGAAAAAAATTAAAAAAAAGAACTTCTTAGGCCCCGAAATAAATTCTGGTTGGGGCTGAACGCCGTCGGGTTCGGACCCCGAACGGGACCCGAACGCCCGTACGAACGGAGGTTTCTGTTCTGGAGAGATTTGTCGGCCATGTATTACAAAAAGCCAGGAAACG